CTCTGGCACAAATCGAACTTCACGCCAGCCACTGACCCTTCCATTCCGTGGGATCTGAGCCGAGTTTGGCGACACGTCTAGGGGTGGCTCCGGCCACGCTAGCCACATGCGCCCCCCCCCCGCCTCCGGTCTTCTTGACTTGGTCATGACACCGGGTGGGGGAGAGAGTGCGGTAGGTGCTGTGCAAGTCCATTATCATCATAAACTAATCCGCGCACAAACCACCTCTCTCGGCCTGCTGTGGAGAAACACTGTGGACGTCTTTGAAATCGGCCGTCGCACAGTCATTATAATGAAGCTGAAGCATTTAAGGAAATTACAACGTGATGAAAGAAGTAGTCGGAATGTCGCCTGCTGATGGAGCAACTCAGTCTCCTCCTGAGGTGAGGTTCAGACTGTAATAGTTCCTTCTTACAGTAAATCTCAGACATTTGAGACCCGAGTTCACGTGTCAGCACTGTGCCCAATCCCACCTTCAGTTTTCCTAACTCGGACAGGTCAGATTCGTGAACGTACGAATGTTAGCTCCACTCAACCCGGGTTAAGTGCAGAACTTCGCAACTATAAACTACCAGTCACGCCTTGAAACCATCATGGCGCGCACACAATGGTGGCTTAGAAGACAGCCGGTGACGGAATTACAGGGTTGTCATTTGGGACGACCTGCTAGATGACATTACTTCTTGTTAATGAGGTCTTTATAGCGGGTTTGACACCATGTTGCTTAAAATGGTGGTCAAACGTTCGTTGTGGAGCACGAAGGTGTGATCCGGGTTTTCGTCTTGTCAACCAGCTACAGCCCCTCCCACGTCCTGTCTTCTTGACTTTGTCATGACGCCGGGTGCAGGCGGGAGAGGAGGGAGCGGTAGACGCTACGCAAGTCCACTATCATTATAAACTAATCTGCGCACAAGCCACCCTCCCTGCTCTCAGCCTGCTGTAGATCGTGGACATCGTCGAAATCGACGTCGTCGTCGTCGTCGTCATGTTCGATAGGTGACCCCCGAGTAGACAGACTTTTTAGTTTTGTCCGTCCCCGCGTCCATGTCAGTTCCCGATCGTTTTTGCTTTGTACTTCCGACAGCACCGAAAGAGCGTAGGCTAGCGTGCTCGCCTACCCCGTGCGATTACACACCGGTTATAAGCCCATGAGGGCTACTTAAGCAGCAGACCAAATTGGCGACAATAAGTACGATCTGTTCCTACTTTCAACAAAATAAGAGGCTAACTCAAGTGCCAGGCAGTGCGCGGTTAACTACCTGTATTGCTGAAATACAGGAACGAGCATGTGCCTGAAATATAGCGGGTTGGACATTGTCTGAAAGGCATTTATGCAGGCTAGGTACTCAAATTCGCTCCTATCGAACTGCTTGTTTTCTAACAGGCTCTGGGGGAATTAAAAAGTGGATCCCGGCGACCCTACACGTTTGTTGGCACATTTTAAATGCGCAGATTGTGAAAACCTCTACGAGGGCTAGAGCATAAGTGACTAGGGAGAAGCTTTTTGTAGCGAACATAATTCAGTGCAGCCTGAAGTAAGAGGGCTTGCAGATCGCTGGAAGTGGGTTAGTGTCCCAGCGAGTGACTAACGATAAAAATTCGGCTGTTTTCCGACGATACCGCTTTGAATAACTCGCTTAAGTGGATTACGGGCCCAGACAGACAGAAGAGATGTCAATGCTTCCCCCCTCCCCTTTCTTCTGTCACCAACTGTGAAATGTTGTAAATGCGGCGCGCCCAATAGGGGAACGGTAGTAAAAAGGGCTTTACGGGTGGGTGTGTGAGAAAACAGTGGAAAATGTGCAAAAACTAAGACAAAAACACAGGTATTACAGGCAAATATGTTAGTATATTTTAGTAGGTACTAAAATCTCAGCGTAAGTAGCACGCGATACAAAAATTCCTTGCTGCTGCTGCTGGCCTGTAAAACCAATTCCACGAAGAATAAGGGTGATTAGCCTGTCAGGGTCATCGAAACTGAACCACCCAAGAATGTGACCAATCAGACGTAAACCGTAGATGAGAGTCGTGGGACGCGGGTGCCGAATGACTCCCTAACCCTAAAAACCTAACTGTCTTCCCAACTCTAAAGCCAAAACCCTATTCCTAGCCGTAAAGCCAGGGCCCTAACGTAATTGCGAATTATAATCACAGCAGTCCGCGAGGCATCTCAAGTTGAAAGAATCCGCCAGTAGTATTACAAGTGATAAATGTTGACAACCTACTGAAATCAATAATACTACTGAAATGATAATTTATTGACAAGGCAGGACGGCGTTTGCGAAGCGAAAAGACACTAACCTTGTTGAAACGCGCAAAGTAGTAGTCCTCCTCGGACTCAACATCACCAGCCCGCCGCCAGTGGTGAAGTACAAGGCCATCCTTAAGCAAGTTGGTGGAAAGTGAACATTTCCAGATGACTTACAGAGCGCGCAGAATTAGTGAATGCAACCCATTGCCACCGACGAACCCGGCTGGCACCAATAACAACTTTGGGCTGTTTGTACACCGGAGCTTCATCGGCTGGAACCAACGGTGGTAGTTCACTAAGAGATTGAAAAAAGTGGGCGAATATAGTAGTGACTGAGAATTCACGTTTGAAAGCGGGACCAATCAATCAATCAATCGACCCAATCAATCACTGCCAAGTAAAGTTATCTATCACAGGAGCTTTCACGCGAATAAAGAGAATCCGCGTGACGGGTCAAATGTCAAACCGGATGTCTCGGACAACAACAAAATGAGAGCAATAAACGGATACGGCGCCGTAATTTATCTTCACTGTCATGAGAAGGCGGCGAAGTAACTGACGACAGCGAAACAGGAGTTCCCGTTGCATCACATGGCGACGTTAATGATGCATGAGTCGGATACAGTGCGCACCAACCAGTATCAGAGGATGAACAGCTGAATTCGCTACTTCAAACGTCAGAACACACATGATCCCATCACAATGAACGTCTAATGAGCTTATTTGCAGATAAAGTCTTACGACTGGAAGAAGAGTATGACCGTCACACCAGGACAGTTGACGAAATATTGCAGGAAATGGGCTTCGTCTCATTAAATTTCCAAATAATCGACCAATGTAGGACACCTTTTGTTGTTAGAAGATATCAGAAACTCGTTGTAAACGAAGTGGCTTTACGGTATCACTAATAATGCGAGCAGACAAAAGAACGTTTTGTCGTATTAACGGCTCAGGCTCCACAGGGAGTTCGTCTGAAATGCCACGACGAGGAAGTTACATGAACTGATCCAATAACGAGATTAGTGAGTCTCGCCTTCACTTGCGCCTGAGACATATGTGATCATGCTTAATGTGGCAAGTCATACCGATGCCCTATGTAGCGCCCCTCCAAGCGCGATCACCTGCGGCAGACGATCTGGTCAGTCCAGATTACTCTCTTCTCCAACATCCTGGGCTGAGTACAGGGAGTTCAAGAACCGCCTTTTTATCGAACCGCGCATTGAATTAAGCTCGGTTTCCTCCTCTGCAATGGACGGTGGAGTCGGACTTAGTGCCGCAGCACTGGTTGTTGGTTGGGTCACGAAACATAAGTCGAAACCATTTCGGTTGTATGTCTTTGATGAGATGAGATAACCTCGTGATGTAAAGACAGTGAGAGCAGGTTGTCTCATTAGAGATTAATCGGCATACCTCACTCTAAGCATCGTTCTCAAGCAACAGTAACCGAAAACGCCTAATTTTTGCTTGTCTCCCACGCGTAACTCCAGCAATCACAGGAGGGCTGGCTGGGGAATCTTGGGAATAAGTGGGACATCGTGGCGGTTGAGATAGTGCGGCGGATTAATTAGACGTCACTGAGGGAGGCGGTTTAAACTGTCCGCTTCTTCAGGGGACATCTCCTTATAGTCAGGGATGTGGCTCTAGCCAATTGTTTTTTTACAACGTTGATGGATAAATCGCGGATTTGCCGCATTCTAAAGGTTACCATAACTGGTGATGTCGTCAGTGTAATCAAGATTGGTCAGTCGACGTCATGGTAAAATTAGATGCCGTCAAAACAGCGTGATGCAGTTAACTGCAGTGGCCGGTAGGAAGGCAGAAAATTTGTTTTTTTTTACAAGAACTCGCGCTAGTGTGAAACCATAGTAGACTATGACCACAGCGATAAATTTTGCAAACATGTTGTCTAGCCTCTTCGTTCGTCCCAAGGACTGTCAGTGCCCGAAATCGAACTCTGCAGCGAAATTAAGCAAAAGACTGTTGGCTGTTGTAGGCCATGGCAAAACTCGACAACGCGTTGCATTCTGAATACTTGGTTGGCAAACACACACCCAGCTCGGAACACGGCTTGTTGGGTCTCACCCTTGCATCCCACATCATATAAAACCGCCTAATGACAACGGCAAATACTTTTGTAACGGTACCAATGACAGACTAAACTGGTTTTTGTCTACAGAACATGTCTAAGAACGGAGGGGTCGCGGTTGTCAGGAACGGTCTCGCTTTCCTGTTTTAGTTCAATCACTTCACAGGGCCAGGGTGTCAGTGTTAAAACACGATTAACAAATCTCGGCAGACGTGTCATCCTCCTCGGGCGCCTTACTGTCAGGCAGTTTCAATATTTCAACAATAACTTTCTCCCGGGAAGGAGGGTCATCCGACAATGTACGGGCTGGAGAAATATAAAACCCAGATTCTATGAATAAGTGGTAATTGTCGGGTCACCGGAGGTCCAAAGACGTTGGAAGTGTCCATGCCAGTGCTTTACCCGTGTCGACTTGTCAGTACTAAGGTCACCATTCACATTGCAAACAATCGCTCTTTGTGAGGCACTTACCGCTAAATTAACGAATAAACCGGTAGTTTTCGAGCATGCAGACGTCTGAAACCTGCTCTACGGAAGTCGGGACCCATTTATGGTATTCTATTCGGCCTCCTATAGACAACTATGTCGCTGTGTAACAGTTTTAAGGAATTAGTCTGGAGGACCTACCTCGAACTATCGAGGTAAACGGCAGTAGGGTTCATCAGCTGGTCTAGTCACTATAGCATCGGCGGGCTTGTTCGCGAATTCTTCAAGTTTCCTCACGGATTAGGAACCTTAATTATGTATACTTGCTGCTACCAGCTCCATCTACTTGGGCTACAAAGTAAGATCTGATTCCTGTTTAAAAGTCTTGACTGTTGCTCATTGCAATCTCAAAGCGTCTGGCACGAGATACTCTGAGTGCGGATGCGAAGCAAACCTTCGGGCGCATGCGGGCGATAACGCTATCTAGCCTGAAAGCGTTGTTGGCTTCAACAAAAACGAAATGACCCCTTGTCATGCACTCAGTGGGCTGCAAGACTAACGCTGGAATGCTAGGCCATAGGACCTTGGCGACGATAGTACATGCGCGTGTTGGCGGCAAACAGTTCATTCTACCCAGTAAGATTCGGCAGGCCTTAGTCATTATTGCACTGAGAACCATAACCAAAACGCTAGACGAACTAATTCAGTCACCGGTGACGATCGGCAAATCGCAATAGGTTCTTGCAATTCCATGTATAAAACTTCTTTCGAATCGTGCACACGAAAATGACAGACCTTGGCAATACTGTCCCACCAGCAATACGCCTTTTAAAGGGCAATTTAATGGCCTGAACATTATAAATGCGTGAATCTCCCGTTCGCAGAGGGTAATAGTTACACTGTGTCTATCCGAGGAGTTGCAACAACAGATATAACAGGCTTTAAACAGTTCAGCCCAGGGGTCCACACTACCGGGAGCACAAGTCTGGTATTGGGGTCCCGCGTAGGTGGAAAATACTAACACTGTAAGGATCAACACTGCGCACTTTCAGATTGTTGGTGGAGGGATCGGGGAAATCTTTAAGTCTTAGCATCCAGAAATAACAATCGGTTTGCGATTGTGCAGTTCAGCCTGCTTAGCGCTCACCTGGACACATGGACCAGGGCTGTAGAGTGCATCATTTTCCATGGATTATAATAGAATTTCCGGACGTTCCCAGGACTGTCTGCTCGAATTCACCGGCACTTTAGTTCACTAACCTACCTGTAAGGCAGCGATGACAAGTGGGTCCATTTAATGGTGACCTACGATCGTAATGTCACGGTTGCCTCGTCGGACTTGCAGCAAACGATGAATCGTACGTCAACCCCTCGTGCACAAGTTGCACTGGCACTACTGAAGTCCCTCATTCGTCAGACACGATAAGAGATGGGAACTATGAGTAGACCCGCCTGCCTGAGGCGATGGATAGACATCTAGATTCAGGAATCCATCTCAAAAATGCAGTTGTCGTGTCCTCTTTAAGCATGCTCCGTGTTAGAAATCTACTGATCGAAGTAAGCATCGAGTTTCGCTGTTATTTCACCAAATAAAATACAACACAAGTAAGCGAATCTGCGCCTACTTAACACATTCTGATAGGAAAAACACGTTTTAGTGCTCCTGGTCTAGTTAAGTATCTTAAATACAAGCTCCCGCAAATAGAAGACGTTTATTCAAAACCCTGGGCGTGTTTAAAGTTGCACCAAACTGCACAACAACACGTTAATCTTGGTAGAACTTAAGTTCTACTAAGGATCATGACTGCACAGAGTCGGCAAAGTTGACAAAACATACTTTTTAAACGTATTCTGTAAGCCCCAGACTTCGCGAGGAATGTGGTCAGGTCTTTTAAGCGGAGGATTTTTTGAAGTTGCTTTCTTCTGTTAAAAAGCAGGCGTCAATTCCCGTAATTCTTTACCTTGTCGGTCCTGTTCAACAGAGTACGTGTGTCGAGGAGGGTTTTTCTTACACCTGGCTCCTCCAGCTCAAGTATATCAAGGACATCAGAAGTCATAGTTGTTTTGAGAAACTAACGTTAATACAATTATCTGCTCCACTAGGTATACTGGGTCGAACGAATGTGAGAACCACAAAGGGAGGAAAGGAAAACCACTCCAAACAAGCCGCGTAACGGCTCTTTGTTTTGGTTGGCTATATTTCAGTTTCTGTTCCATATGGAATACAGACCAAAGGACCCCATGGGAACATGATTTAACTGAGAAGCTGTAGGTCTCACAGGATCTTAGGATATGTTTCGTATAAACATGTGTGCTGCAACCTAATCAAAGCGACATAAGACAGCAATTCACAGATGAAGAGGCGTTCCAAGATGCCAAAGGTAAGTTTAATCGAGGGAGTCCAAAACAACATAGGAAGTACTTTAATTGACTTCGTAAGCAATGGGAAAAGAGCATTAGCTAAATCCCCCCGCAGAAGGACCATGAAGCTCACATGAAAAACGACTGCAAGACCGCCGCTAAAGGGGTTTAGCATTTCCTTCGATCTCTTGTGGATGTCTATTTGCGTACTCCTAACTTCCATTCAAGTATATTTATCCATATAAGGAATATTTCAGGCATCAAGTCAAAGTACCTCAACAATAACTTCGTCTTGGGTCGGACGGAGCTTAGGAACTCGCTTTCACGCGTTACTTGTTAGGTCTCCTGCACAGGATTTAGTTCATCTCCTGGGTCCTCTGCTTAATGAAAGGCCATGAAGAAATGACCAGGTCACTTTACGTTCCATAAAATGCTTCTAGATGATCGAGCATATTTATTTAGAATCTTCGCCGTGGGTAGACTTGTTCTTTACTTAAAGTGCATAAACTGCTGACCCTTAAAAGGTATGAATGTTTGCTTAGTCCGTCCCATTTTAGAGGGATCTGGATCACAGTTGTAGCCTTTGGTAGGAAGCCCTTTAAAGCAAATATCAAGCCCATCTTTTTGTCAAACGAAAGAGTTTTAATTACAAAAGTACAACTTCGTGCGTTTAAGTAAATGGTGTGGTTAGAATGAGTACAACTGATCAAATGATAAAACGCGATATGGCACCTGATGTTCTGTACAACAGGTATTGCACGAACGAAAATGTGCAGACAAGGTGAGTTTTGAATAGTGGCTTGCATTGACGGGCGAGAAGGAAACCAACTTTGGGCCATTCTATGCATGCTACAAGAGACAGAAGGTAGCACATGGCAAGAGAATCAGCCAACTGCCAGTGATTAGAGAAGGAGAAGGAACCGTCGAAATAATGCACAGAAATCCCCATTTACTGAGAATAGCGCCCAGGCAAAGTTAAAAAATGAACAGGTTGTGTTTACCATTCTCCGAAGAAGACGAAGGAGGAAGGCGGGCAGGTCCATGCACTAAATTGTATTTTTGCGGACGTTTCGCAAATTTCCTCGTCTCCATCATCAGAGTAGTGCTGTTGCTGCTCTTGCTGGTACTGAATTATTGAGGCTCGCAGCCCGCTTCGTATTCTAGCCGTGCTTGATGCCCGCTTTCTGCTGACTAACGTTGACGTCTCCGAGGTTGGGTTGGTCTCTCGCACGTGAGTCGGCGGCCTGAAGAATCCTTGGTTTTTGAATGCATTGCTCTCAGTTTCGCTGACGTGTCGGTGAGGCAGCGGTCGATGTTGCCACGTAACCTTTGGGCTCCGACACCCTGTTTTCCATGAGGGTCGGCTATCGGATCCGCGTGCCAGTTTGTTATGCTTAATACAAGAATGTACCTGGGAGCAAATAATGAGACACAAAAATCCGGTACCAGTAACAGAACAATCAGCATTGGTCGAAAGCACAACATGTCAAAAGCTTGATGTGGGATATGTTGATGAGACGGACGAAGGCCTTGGAATGTGAATGCGCAAACACTAAATTGCTATCAACCGCAAGTATAAGTTGTTTTCACTCTGTGGTCGCATACAACGGCTGGAACACAGTCTCGCATTGAGAAAACGTGGGTAAGCGGTCTCGCCAATGAAAAAACGGCCTTGCCGGTGTTCGAAAGTTGATTTTCGGCCGGCACCACCAATTAAACTGCAGATCTGTGTCTCACCTAACAGGCAGTATGCACAGGGCCTAGATCGGCCCGGACTGGGTCCATGGGCCAGGCGGGCACGCGAAGACAAGGTCTAACTCTCATGAAAATGAGGAGAAATGGCGACAAGGGGTCACGTGCCCAAGGTCGAACACTGCCTCAACGGTGCGCCCGCGAGGCTGAAAGCATACCCGTTGACTGACCCGCGAGAGCCCAGCAGCCATGCTGACTTGGTTACAAATTCGCCGGCCGCAAACGACACGCGAGTTTGCCAGTGATTATCCTCCAAGGAGTTAAAGCCATTCAGCAGCAAACGGGCAGTTCAAGGTTAGTGCATCGAGCACGTCTATAAGCGAGTGGGCGACGGGGCTCAACACTCAGTGTCAGCGGGAACTACGACAGAACTACCCCGATGATGGAAATGAGGAAATTTCAAAGCGTCAGTAAAAATACAATTTGGTCCATGAACATGCCCGACTTTCTTCTTTGTCGCCCTCGGAGGATGACGAACGCGACAAGAAATCTAGGCTTCGAATATTTACGCATGTGTATGTATAGATGTTTTAAGGCAAATACGTTCTGTGGGAAAAGTAGAAAACTTTATTAAGTACATTTTCGATGCTGGTTCCCTAGATCGTCTTTAGACGTAAGCGAATGTCCAAAAAACAATAAGCATTTCACACTTGCTGAAAAATCGATATTCATCGGGCGTTTGCGTCGGTAAGCGACCGCCTTATGCCTCAATCTGCATCGATTGGCTCTCTTCCACTTTTCCCTGAGATTTTTGTACGTGGCATCTAGCTCAATGTGTCGACTGATGCATGACTCCTAGGAGTGCATGGCTTCAAGAAATTCTCGGCCTTTTTTAGAGGAGCGAATTCCGACGATGCGAGTTTTGTACCATGCGAAGGTGTGCCCAGTGTCAGGAGTGTGCATGGCCATCGGAGACAGGTAGTCTCGCCTCTTAACTGCCAATTGGCGCTCCTGAATGCGTGTAGAGACAGATTTTCCCGTTCGGACACAATAAATGGTGTCACAGACATCGCATGGGATCTTATGGGCGACTTCCTTCTTATCGGAAAAGACATGGTGAAGGCCCCCAAGTATCACCAAGCAGCCACAGCCGCCTGTCTTACGGGAATGGTGGTAATATCCCCCTGAAGTTCGCTGGTCTCCGCCTTCAGGCCCCAGAAAGTTCGAAGACTTTCTTGAGGCGGTGGATGCCGGAATGTGGACTCAGGTTGTCGATTTTCCCACCGGAGGTTCAAGCCTACTTGACCTAATTTTCTGTAGGGGCTGCATGCCATCGTCTCTGTCATCCCTAGGCCCACTCGGGGACTCAGACCATGACATAGTTGTTTCAACGTTGGAATTCGAGGTTGGCAAAACGTTGTCCCCAAAGTATAACTGTTCCTCGATTTCCGATCAACTCACTCAACCGAATTATTAACATGCCTTAATTCGTACGGCTGGATTTATTTCTTCCTTAGTTCGGATGTAACTGTTTGCACTGCAAAACTGTACGAAATTTTGGATCTGCTTATTTCTCGTTGTGTCCCCCGTATGAAAGTTATTAATCTTGGGGATGAGGTTTACCTACCCTTACCCTTTCGTCGCAGATTGCGCAGACTTTATCGTCGATTCCATCTTCAGAATGACGTTTCTGTCCTGTCCTTGATTTGTGATATTGTTGAGCGGGCTAAGAGATTGTCTGAAGAAAACCAGCTAGTCGAAGAGGTGCAGTTTACCGAAAACCATTCGTTAAATATCTCGAAACTTTTCTCTAGAATAATACGAACTCATCGAAAGACGCAGCATCCCATCCTCCGAGACGCTCTCGGAAATCCCATAGTTGATGCCCAGTTAACCGCGGATAGCTTCAATGATTTCCTGTCCAAAACGTTTATTGAAGACTCGACCACTCCACTTCCGACCATCCAGTCATTGACTGGGGCAGTTCTAGAAACTATAACTTTCACTCTGTGGGATGTGACTGTTGCGATTCGGCGTTTTCGTCAATCTTATAGTCCAGGCCCTGATGGTGTCCCTGTAAGCATTTTAAAAGCCGATGAAAATACGATTTTCCCCTCCCTCTTATGCAAGATATTTAATCTCGCTCTTGAAATTGAAACTTATATTACCTTGGGGAAGGAGTCACACATTTTGCCCATTCATAAGCACGGCAAATCCACGTCATTTGATGACTTTCGGTCGATAAACACCCTCCCCTCAGTTTGAGGAGCTTAGAGACATTGATCAAAGATAAGATGATGTGTCACTTAACAGTGAATAACCTACTGAGTGCGGCTCAGCATGGATTCCTCAAAGCTCGATCTTGTGACACCTGTCAACTCTCTTTCTTTGATTATGTTCTCCAATCTAGGGACAATGGTTTTGAACTTTACACAGTATATTTCGATTTCACTAAGGCTTTTGACCGTGTCGACCATGCTCTTCTTCTCTTGAAACTGTCCCCTTTCGGAATAGGTGACAAACTTTATAACCTCTTACATGGGCACTCATACACAACGAGTTAAGATTTCCAATGCTCTCTCCAACCCCACAGGTGTGAGGAGTGGAGTCATTCAGGGTAGTGTTCTCGGCCCGCTTTTATTTTGCCTTTCGTTAATGATGTACCCGATTTATTCCAGAATGGTAAGCCTTTCATGTATGCCGATGATCTTAAAGTTGCATATCGATATAAGCCGGCAGATCATGACATTGTGCTTGAGCTCCTAATGAGCGATCTACAGGCTTTCGCCCAGTTTTGCTGCACATGGCGCCCTTCTCTTTCCTGGCATAAGTGCTAAGTCATGCTGATTGGCGACGACCGCCAACCCCAACTAAGTATTGAAGGTCACGCCGCAAATGTGCCTGGGGTTATTAAGGATCTGGGCGTATCCTCCTCCAAGAATCTCAATGTCTCGGAGCAGTGTGCCTTGACAGTCTCCAAAGCGCGTAGAACGACCGGGTTTAT